CGTGCAATTTCTGGTGGCTTCTCCGAACTGGGCTCTGAGTATTCGAGGGGCCTCTGCCTTTAGTCCGGGGGGGGAGGGGGGTTGATTGACGCCTTGGTTACGAACATTACGGCTTCAATATATGGGGCGGAATCGTGGGGAACAAGTGCAGATGGGTACCGGGTGCGAGCTCCCATTTTCGCGTGAGATCAAAACTTTTTGTCCAGCAAAACATGACGGCAGTGCGTTACGATGCCGTCATTTGTACAGTGAATGTCATGGACTTTGTGTTTGGCAGTGAGCTTTCTATCTTTGCGCCGCAAAGCTAGGTACCACCTTTTGAATTGCGCCGAATATCTTTGGAGGTCTTTCATGGTAAACATTAATTGGATTATACCACAACCAAGAACAAATGATGGCATGCGATTGATTCACTTCACTACGCCTGATTTAAACGCTCTACTATAGTAACACGTTCTCAACTTGTTTCGATCGTCTGGTCACTCTCCCGGGTTATTTTTGTTGGAGGTTAGAACTACCAGTGTGTGGTTTTATCATGCTCTCAAATTAAGTTGTAGAATAAAGGACAGCCCCTTCACCTATACTTATATTTATAATAATTATGCACTGTATATTATTTCAATATTACAGCTTTAACGATCTCATTTCACAGAAATTAAGGTGTCGGTGTCGCTGTCAGCGTCTCTGGTTGAGATTAAGAAAACATCATCTTGTTCATGACAAAAAAAATCAAGAAACCTGCTCATAAAATAAATTTTAAAAAATTCAGTATGAGTGAGACTAAAACCCAGGCTCTCTGTGTGGCAATCAAGTGTTATACCGCAGAGGCACGGCAGTGGTCGTAACTGATTCAGAAAAAAATATGAAATTCATGAAGTAGAAATTCCCATTAGTATTGTGTCCAGCCACACTACACTTCTTTTGTTCACGTAGTGGAAGGAATTTTTTCAATTCACGCAATTTTAAGTGGCAGAAGCGTAGAATCGTGCCAGGCATCTAAACATGTGAAAGCGGGCAACAAGATGTTGTTAGCAAGGCCCAGCCATTACAAGATGCTCAAACTTATTTCCGCGTGTTGCTTTACGCATGTGTAAAGGCCCCTTTCCTGGTTCACAAAAGAACAATTATGGCGCAAGTGTACTTGCAGTAGACTTTCTACGATACTTTGAAACGACCAGTGTTGCATGCACAGTCATTCGTTTCCTCACGGTACGGTTGAGGTATACACCGAGACCCAAGCTATAGGCTAATAATTGAGAAGGTGATTCGCACAGGGCCAGGTTACGCTATTGCGGTCCACTCATGAAGGCAAAGCTCAAGCGTCCTCCAAGTTTCATAATTGTTGTGTTTGTAACTGTGGTGTAATTGTTGTCACACAATATACTTAGTACTGAATGGCGTCACCTCTGCCATATTTGCCAAATGCTTTGGCATGTAATAATTATAATATAATATAATAACAATAATGAAAATATAGTTTTTATTTGCACTGCAATATGGATTCTCTCAAGTAATGTGAAGACTGACAGTGAATTCGCTTATGATTCTTCGAGTGCTAGCAGCCGCCACCGTGCAGCGGCTGCTAGCGCTCGAAGAAGCGACCATGCTTGGGGCCACGAGGGGCCGATGCTAGCCGTAAATGTGCCCGGCGGTGCCACGAGGACCCTGCAGGACGAATGCGGTAGGCCGAAGTGGCGCATAAGCGGCGTGTGGACCAAGCTTCTCCTCAACCTCCATCGTTCACCTCGTGGATATGCTGTCATTTTTTTTAATGCTGTAGCTAGAATACTGGACTCTCTCCTTTTATGCTCTCGCATTCAAATTGGCAATATCTCTTGTCGCGATTCCTCGTTACACATAAACTGTCAAGTGCCTGAAGCACATATCAACACACCATGGCACATATTATACAGGTATGTATCACATCTGTCAGGAGAAAAGTGTTGAACGACGTACACATTGCGATTTTGATGTTATTCACTTAATGACTATACAGTCACATTCATCAAACCATTTTATCTTTCCATACTAGTTTTCGTCTTCCCCAAGTAAATAGGTTGATCACAAGATTCCCGAGAACTACTCTGGCGGATGGGCGAACAAACTAGCGGGCGGACGGATGAATGGGAATAAAGACTCGCAGTGCCTGCAGTTTGCTCAAAAATGCTTCGCATTTAAATTGAGCATCTTTAGTAAAATCTAGTAGGGGTGTGCAAATATAGAAAATTAAAAACATTTGTCTTGTTTTGCATGCTTTTCGACTCGATTTGCACAGAAACTTACTATTCGAACTTCCCAAGGACAAATGCAGTTAGCATCTGATTGAATGTGACCCCTTCAGAACTTTACTAAAGGCGAAGCATTTCTTAGCAAACTTCGGCGACTGACTGTATCTGTCTATCTATATATCGAGCCGCCTACGACTTTTAGCTCTTCAGGCTGTTTCAATAATGGGATCAATACCGAAATCAGTATGGCATAAAATTACTGTATGTCAAGCATAAATGAGTAGTCATAACTCGAAAATCATGACATGTATGCCATGAATGTCAGGATCGACATTTGGTGCTCTTGCAGTGGTTTTCGTTCATATAGCACATTGCAAAACTGGTACGGTATGACAGGGCTGCATGGCCATTGTAAGTGACAGGCACTAACGTGAAAATCATGACATGCATGTCATGTAAGTCATGGCTGCACACCACGCTCATGGTGCACTAGCGGTCATCTCGCTAGGTCCACATATAACAAATTTGGTATTACGTAAGGTGAATGGATGACGAAGGGATATGACTGGCACAAACATACTAATCATGACATGCAAGTCATCTAAAAACATGACTACATGCCACTCTCATGATGCGCTCCCGATCGTTTCGCTAGCTTTACAATGACCAAATCTGATACTACGTGACGCAAATGAACGACGAGGTAAATGACACGTTCAAACATAGATGGACATCATTCAGGACATGAGTGTGTCATGTAAAACGTGACTACATTCTACGCTTATAGCACGCTCGTGGCCATTTCAATAGCTTCACATATACCAAATTTGGTATTACATGACGTGAATAGACGGCGAAGGTAAGTGAAATGTTGAAACATAATAATCATCACAGGCGTGTTATGTAAAACATGACTACATACTCTGCTCATAGCACGCTTGTGACCATTTTGCAAGCTTCACATATACCGAATTTCAGGTGCCAAAAAAATAATCATGACATGGAAGTCATGTCACTCAGCTTTACAACAATAAGCTCAATTTAAACCCTTCTCTCTATTTGCGTCCCCCAGAAAGAGTCTCATCAAGAACCAATCACCCACACGTAATTATGCCCTACACACCGAGAATTGACACATTTAAAAACACTTTTCTTGTCAGAATGATTGTCGACTGGAACTGTCTTGCCGCCGATTTCTTTGAGAATGTAGACACAGTTGAATCTTTTGTTGGTAAATTAGAATTGGCATTGTATATGTAGTTCCCACTCTGTAACAGCCCGACAGGGCTTACAGTATTGTGAATAAATAAATAAAATAAAATAAATAAATGTAAGGCACAATTTACATACCATGCTCATGAGGCTCTTACAGACGATTCGCTAGCTTTTTATACATCCTAGTAGGCATCGAGTGACGTCACTGTATTGTGAACGTGAATTACAGGTCGTAGCATGCGAATTCCGACATGCATGTCATGTACGGCATGAGTTATGTGTCGCGCTCATGGTGCCCTTGCGGCCAGTTCGTTAGCTTGATATACAACATATTAGCCTACCACTGCTGGTGCTGGTATTGTAAACGTTAGTGGTGCCGTCGTCACCAGACTATAAACGACATACTAGCATCTCATCTAGATACGTGGGTGCGCATAACTTTTCTACTTGTGTTTAATGTGTACTACTGTCGTATGCCTCATAGTGTTGTGCGGGTTTTAAGGTACATGACATATAAACTTTTCTCATTTCTGCTTCGCATATCATCGATTTCCACTGTTGGTAGGATCTACCATATTTTATGCTTCAGCTCATTACATTCTCGTATTGCGGCAAAGCAGTCTTTCATTTTCCGCTGCAGTCGAATTTTTCAGACAAATAAAGCCTACGTCGAATTAAAAATGACCCTTTTAAAACTTTTAATGCGTCACCTCATTGAGCCCCCAGGTCTACCACGTCTATCAAAGCTGCTGTGAGAGATGTGGTTGAGGTGGGGCTCAATCAACGCTGCTTTGAACCTTAAATTTGGGAAGGAAGTTTGAAAAATCTGACGCCGAAGATTTTTAGCACTTCAAATTTTAAAATTTATTTCGTGTTGACGTCCAGATTTGAAACTTCTGTCTTGAAGCGAGTACACCTTTGTCTGCCACATCAGTTAGGCTTTCACAAAAGTTGGAAGATAAGAGGCTGAAGAAATAGCATCCTCGCCCTTCACATATAAATTACTGTTGGCAACACTTTGGTTGCCCCAAATCATGCCCGAATACAATTTGGCCTTTGGATTGCCTCATTTCTGGTAAGCACTAGAAAATACCACCCCACAAGCACTTCATCAACCTAGCAAAAAGAAACACTTTCATGCTTATATATCTCATAATATGCTAACCAATTCCCTTCAACTTTTTCCACCACAACTTAACTTCAAAGTATTTAGAAAATATTCCAGGAATATTCAAGAACATTTGGAAAAATATAAGATTCGATTAGCACTCATGCCTCACCTCACAGCAAAAATTCGCTAAAACTTAATTAGGAGCAAATTTTGCCTAGGTTGAACTCCAACTCCGTGCTCCAGCTTTGTGCCACTAGCGCACATTGTTGACTGTTTTGACTGTTTGTGTTTTGAGAGTGAGAAGGCCTGTCTTATAGTAGCAATGACTGAGACTGACTAAAAACTAAAAGAATCAAAGTAGTCTGCAGCGATGGCTCGCCTTTCTTATTAAAAACTGAGCATGCTTGCAGGAATAGAAACAGAGGTAGGTCAGAAAAATGACGCACCTTTGCTTTGTGCTCGGCATCCAATGTCTGGATCTGTGATTCATTCTGCTGTTTAAATGCCATGCTGAAATGGAAACAAGAGAAACATGATAAACTTTCGGAATATCCTTGTGAAGTGAAGAAATACTAATTAGTTGACAAAAAACTATATATCGAAACTTGACTGGCCATAATACGAGCTGTATCATTTCATCATAATATCCCTTGCTTTCTTCGTGTGGCTAAGTTAAGAGCAGCAGCCAATAATACATGATGTTAAACAATTAACAATATTCCTGGCACGGAACAATGCAGATAGATGAAATTAGGAAAGACTGGGAGGGCTTGGTGCTGGCTAACAACTTCAGCACTTATATTTCGAAGGTACAAAATATCTACACTTCTTGGGAAACAGTAATAAGAAAAAGGCGGTGAAGAGAGAGCTCAGCCCAAGCGTACCAACTAGTTGATGACAGTGATCATCTATGGTGATACTTAATTTTCTTGTCGGTTTGCACAATTGATTGCGTGCATAGACACGATGGCTTAATGGAATGAATTGCGTGTGCCAAGTAGACTTCCCGGATGCAGCTATCACAATATCTGCAGAAGCGTGTCTGATCAAAATTAGTACTGTATCTTAAGTCGGCACAATGAATGGTCAAATTGCTTCCAGTATTGGCTTTGAAGTTGTTCTTGTGCCCCTACAGCAGATCGTTGATGCAGCGACTCGTGTGCCCAATATATAGCCCTCGGCAGCATAGTTATTTGTAGTAACAAATAACTAGGGGGAACTCTGGCAGCGTAGTATTGCCAGGTCGGACGAGGCATCATGGCCAATAGGCAGGAATCCCGCACCTCAGACATTGCCCACATTAAAAAAGAGCAAAAGTACTTGTAGTCATATATAGCCCTTCTTATTTACAACATTATTTGGGCTGACATTTTCATATTCTACAACTACAGTAGGCAGGCATCCTGCACCCCAGATATAGCCCACATTAAAAAAGAGGAAAAATATTTGTAGCCATATATAGCCATCTTTATTTGCAGCTTCATTTAAACTTACATTTTCATATTCTACAACTACTGTACTACAACTACTGTCCTGTACTACAACTACTGTCCAACGCCCCTCCTATTAGTTGACTATGGAGGAGGCCACCCCCCTGCCCTCCCTGTGCGCGCCTATGTTCTAGCTGCGTTGTGTCTGTACAGTCCATGCACGGCGACTGGCGCACCGTGCTTTGGCCGTCAGAGTCGTTGAGAACCCGAGCAAACCAAATGCTCTCCCAATGCTCGCAAGCACGTAGTTTATCAGAATCATCAACTGCTGCGTTTTCGATTGCACCAAATAGTACACGTCGTGTCCTACACGAACGACGTTTTACAGTTTCTCGACTCGTCTCTGCTTTACTAAGCAGCGAAAGAAGTGGATCACGTTTGTCGGACGCAAAAAGTGTTTGGTTCCCGCTCTCTTTGCCATCTCGTTCTGCCTCTGCATGCTTGAATTGGTCTCAGTCACCACCTCTGCAGGTGCAATAACCTTTCGTGATGTTCCTGCTGCAACAAAGCTGGGGAGAAAAAGTTCTGCAGGGTGCTTTAATTCAGCTCCAGGCTGATCGAATGTTTTAATGAACCTTAATAATTATCAACTCACTGTCTTGCCTTCGCAGTTTTGTGGAATGCTATGCGAGGTCAATCAATGCTTTAATGCTTTGCTGGGTTCATAAGAACATCTAAAGAGGCAAACTGAGTTATGTAGCATATTACCGTGAACACAACTAGCCGCCCAGCAGTGCTGTGCGAAACACGGTAGGATCGAGCCAAGACTTTGATGGGTAGGTTGACCTTCATTAAATTCGTGCATCCCACTACGGGGGATTAGCCATGAAATTGGCAATGCCTTGTTATATAAGAGAATTTGCTGATAATCTCGAAATGATTAGCAATAGATCGTTTTTGAAACAAAGAATAAGCTTAAATCAAGAAAAAAGACACTAATATTGTTGAAGAGTAAGCTCGATTTAGATCGATAACCTTAGCATTTAAAGTTTCGTCTCATGTACTAAATCGCATTCGTCATCGCAATCACTCAATTGGCTAAAACCTAGTTGTGTAGCTACAAAAAAAAAACTCCCAAAATTGATAACTTATATCCCACCCTCAAAGTGGTCATCCATAAGTATTTTTTTTTATTGGTAAACAATTTGCATGTTAGGAAGAAATGGTGCAGGGTGAAAAGTAGCAGAACTACTGGGTGAAAAACGAAGCTTTACCAATGCTATAGCGAGGAATTTGCGTTTCAGAAATCAACATAAGCAACACAAGAACTTGTAGTGAATGAGAGAGACGACACTGTGGCCAAAGTGATCACCACTTTAAAAGGTGAAGCGAAAGACTGAAACAGGGCATCCTCTTTGGCATAAATCGTAAAGCATTCCCTTTCTCGCCGGCGCCCTCACTACTTAGCATTGCTGCATGAATGGTAAGTTAAAGACCATGATCATGATGAGCAAGAATGATGCTGCGATAATTTGAATCAAAACAATTCGCGAGACTCGGTTGCTGAAAATTGTGGAGGCACAAAGCTGCAACAAACGGGCACTGCCGCCTGATCACTCACCATGATTTCCACGGCCAATGGCCTGGAAGCCATCGATATTCTAAATGCTCCTGAGTATTTCGCAAGTAAGCGGGTAGTGGGCACGCACCAATAATATTCCAAATGTGAAAAAATTATGGCTTACTGCGACAGTTATCAAGCTAGCATCTTGCATTGCACACACTTGATGCACACATTTACCTGTCAGTACTGACGACGGGCAGCAAGGCACTCACTAACGCAGAAAACATGGGCCCTTTTGTGCAGGCTTTTACATTTATTTATAGCGGAATTGCAGATGAATGGGTATCTATGACATTGTGAAATCCTGCTAGAAAAACCAATGCACTGGCCCCGGGCGCTTTGGCACCACAGCTGTCAAACCAATGAGAAGCTGCTGTCTGCTATGCCGTTCTCAACGTTGCATGCCTGCCACACCACTAGTAGTGCTACGCGCAGTTTTTGAAGCACCCCCTATTGGCCTGGTGTGCGACCGATTGCGGCACTGCGAATGGCTACTGCGTGACGTCAGTTCGAGTATTCGAGTGCTTTCCAGGCGCGGTGTGGTATATAAACCGCCGTCGTGATAAAACTCGGCAGCAGTGACTATGGTGATGGGGCCCGTTGACTCATGCTATTGTTAGATGGGGCCCGTTAACTCGGTGCTATTGTTAGAGTGAGGGAGCCCGTCAGCGCAAGTATAATCATTACACCAGTGACGGGGCCGTCAGCAAAGTGGTGTCATTAAAGTTAGAGGGTCTGTCACCATAGCTTAATCATGATTATGCTGACGGGGCCCGTCACCGTAGTGAAATCGTAAGAGTGATGCAACTATAGCGGTGGGCCCCTTCACCATAGCGTAATTATAAAAATGAGGGAAGCTCACTGCCATAAATTTGTAGTTGTTTTAGACACCATCATCTAGCTCTATTAGTGGCGCAGTGGGTTGACGCGCAGTTGAAGATGCAGCTGTGCTGAAGCTCGTCAGTTCGAATCCCGTTTTGTTAGTTCTGAATTGTTTTATAGTATTGCATCAATATTGACGTGACTGCTTTAAAGGAGTCATAATTTTGCTTTTTTGCAAGAAAATTACGTCTGTGTGTATGCCGGTTGTTAGCCCTACAGCCTTGATTTTTCGAGGCGCAGTAGGTACGTTCCTGGTGTGAAACATCATGCGTTGTTAGTTTGCGACTTCAATTCGAGTCACGTTGACCTACTTGACTTTTTTCTCTTTCTTTCCTGCTTTCAAGATCGTTTCGAGTAATGTTGCTTATTTTAAAGGTAGCATCCTACAGTGGAGCGATAGGAGGCCCGCCACTGGCCAGCTAGAACCTGGACGATAAGCTTACACGAGGTTCTCGCTGACAGACCCAGCTCGCTGAGTGGCAGCTGCCGCAGAGCCCTAGTCTTAGCTCCCCCACTGCGAAATTCACTGCAGTACTACAAGTGTAGCGATTTTTTACCGCCACCACTAAAAGCACGTGCACAAACACCACTGCAAGGAGGCAATTAGTACAATGCCGAAAAAATGTAATAATAAGGTGTCCCATTTTAACAATGCTGCCTATAGTGGCGGGCCTAGACATAGTGCTGCTATTTGTACTTTTGCTGAAGTGATTGAAGTTTTTATTTGCTATTTCTTTACTGCTGCATGAGGTGACTGCTCTCAAGCTCCCTATGGCTACCTTCCCTTATCAATACATCGACGCTGCTACATGCACGCTAATTCTTTCGTATTCAGTTTATCGAATTGGTCACACCTTGTGGTTTACCCAAGCTCGCAGCCGCACCAGCCAGCACTTGCAAATTAAAGCAAACAAACGGCCAGTTCACGCCCAGGACTTCGTGCACACGCAGTTTTATTAGCTGAAAACGATGCAAAACACATTTCGCTCCCGCAGGACAAGCGTCGTCTCAGGACGAGAAGACGCTACAGAAATCAGACCACCATGCGAGTACTACTGCACCATAGAGAGCTCGAATGTCTATCTACATTGCATAAAGATAGCACACATTCATGGAACGAAAGCGACGTGCCATAACCTCTTATTTGAAGGAGCCGATTCGATCACATGAATAAGTCTGTGTGTGCGAAGTTCAGGCGAAGTAGGCCCGAAGTCAGAGCTACATGTATTGTAGTCATATGTATTGTGGTTTTGGGACTTACTGAAACATATTGTTCAACTACACAGCCATCAGAATGAAACACACTCTATTTTGACCTGCACAACGTTTGGTATCAGCCCATGTGGCACATTTATGCAGCGACACGAAAAATAGGCGGAACGGATTCATTTGGGAACATCACATTATGTGAAAAAAATTATTTGGTGCTACGGTATCAATGCAAAAGAAAAGAACCCTGCTGAGGGTGGTACATTGTTCATTGCGATAATAAAGTTAATTTGCAAGCATACAATGCAATCTGTTCACCAGCAGTATCAAATCTGAAATCATTGAGACAGGTCTTGATTCCACGT